ACCCATAAGGATTGATTCTACAACTCCTGCTTTACCAAAGTCCATGAATGCTCAAGTCTATTAGATAAAATGATGTAACATTTCCATATGACCTACGCGCATTCTCCAAATTGTCTGTAGATCACTTAATACCCAATACAATATTAAAAGCCCTGTAAATTGTTTTATATTATGCTGTTCAAGGAATAATGACAAGAGGGAAAAGTTTGTACATGTTTAGTATGAGTGCAATTTATTTATGTAACAAATACTTTGACCCACGGTTGACTGAACGTAGGAATGTGGAGCTTGAAGACACAGAGCCGGTTGCACTTGTGGTACGAGGACATCTCACGCCTCAGATGTCACTTAACCACCCTGTGTGAGACACCGTACCAAAACCCAGGGGCAGCCATCATTCATTAACAGTCTCTTACCTGCGAGGAGCGTGGGGCTGGCTGGGCTAAGGTGAGCTTCACTGAGGTGTTTGTCTTGGGTGGCTCTGATCTATAAAGTGATTGAATGAACGAACTGCAAGATTTAATGTTTACTTTTTTAAATTATTACAGTCAAAGACACACTGCCGTCAGTCCTTCTCAAGATAACTCTCCCTTGCTTCCTATACAATGTCCCTTCACTCCTGCCACTTGAGAAGCAGTTCTGGAAGACTTCTGTTGTGAGTACGTTCAGCGGTCCTGTCAGGACTGCTTCACTGTCCTGCATCAGTTCAGAACTATACCTTTCACGGTCGTTTTGACTCTGGGGAAGAACCAGAAGTCATATGGTACCAAATCAAGTGAATAAGGTGGATGAGGACACGCTGTATTGTTTTCACAAATCTGCCATGCTCTAAAACAGCACATTCACCGCCTTTTTTATCGCACCTCATAAAGATGCACACAAGAGAGGCCTGTAAGAGCTGCTTCGGAAAGCGGCAAGACTGACAGGACAAGCGTGCTCAAAGTGAAGTGGAGTGTTTTGAAGGGGATTCATGGCAATGTGTCATTGTTCTAATTTAAAGACTCACCATGTATTTCGATCACACCGCATATGTACCTCACCCTTCTGGAACTGAAAAGTTCATGGGGCATATTTTCTCGTGGCAATGACAGAAAAGGGCATAAATGACAACATGAGGGGTGCTTTTCAGGCTTATGTTCACAACTCTAATACTGTCCTTTCTGACTACAAACCACTCATCAATGAAACTCACTTAGTCACATCTGAAATCAAAAGCACAGAACTCCTTCGTGGCCATGAAGCCATGACAAAGATATGACCAAAAGCAGGGATTCTGAGTTCAGACCAACATGCAGCCCACCACACTTTATATCCCTATCGGAGGGTAATCAATCCTCCAACTGCCTAGAAAGTGGGATGACGAAGACTAAAGAAAGACAATAGAGACTTGCATAATTTCATAGTACAAGGGGGGCTGGGAGGTCAGTGCCTCGGAACGGGCAAAGACAAAGACACTCTGAGCTCGCTGTAACTTATTAGGTGGAGGGAGTTTCGGGTGACTTATTTGACTGCAGTAATCCTATGTGCATGAGGACCCTAGGTCATGAGGGCCCTATGTTGATAAAGGCAGTAAGGAGAGCATTCTTACAGTAGTAGATGGGATAAGATAGCAGGGTAATAAAGTTATTCTTCCCCCAGGTGAAACCTTTCTCTTTTTTATTACTACTCAGTTCTCAAAGAACCAGGAGAGCTTCAGCTGACATAATCTTACTCTTGAGAGTCACCACCTCACAGGGCCACCGAGGCCTCAACTTGAGGGACAAATCGGAGTTACGTTTCTGAAGGCCATAGCTGGCTCGCAGGCAAGGGGACATTCAGCTTCAGACAGCTATAGTCATACTTTATTATGAAGTAATTTCCCCAAAAAAATTATGTAGAATGGCTCTCAACATATTTCCTTCAAGCCTTCTCGAAATCTCCATTTGATAGTTCCTTACAGTCAAATGCAGCCTCAAAGCTTAATTCTTACAGTTGTGGGTAACTGATTCTCAATTAGAGGGCAAAGGCCATTTAACTGAGAAAAAGTAGTCTTTTCAACAAATAGTGCTGGAACCACTGTTTATCCACATATAAGAAGTCAGACCTACCCTCATACTATATAAAAAAATTAATTCAAAATAGGCCACAGCTGGGATTTAGCTCAGTGGTTCCGCTGCCTGCCTTGCAAAAGCAAGGACCTGAGTTCGATTCCCGGAACCAAAATAGGCCATAGATCTATATGTAAGGGCTAAAACTATATAGAACTTATATTAGAAAACATTACAGCAAATTTTCATGACTTTGGGCTAGGCAATTGGTTTATTAGGCATGATACAAGTAACATAAACAACAACAAAAATAGATGAGATTACAAATTAAAAGTTTTTGTACTTCAAAGAACACTAGCAAGAAAATCAAATGACAACAAACAGTATTTGAGCATTTGCAAACCATATATCTGACACATTTTTTAGTTTTAGAATATATAAAAACTCAAAAATACGTAGACAACATATGCAAATAGCCAATAAATAAATTTTAAAATGCTCGCTATCATTAGTCAAGTTGAAAATGCAAATGAAAACCACAGTGAAGCACCATTTCAGACACCAGGCTGGCTAAAACAGAAAAGCACTGTCGAGGATGTTAAGAGATTAGAACCCTCAAACATTGCCGGCAATGCCATAAAATGGTGTGGCCCCTTTGCAAACAGATCGGCAGTTTCTCGAAATGCTGAACATAGAATTACTACATGACTCAGCTGTTTCACCTTCAGCTGTACAATCGAAAGAAATAAAAACAATTTCCACACCAACACTTTCAGGAAGATCCCATAGCAGCATTATTCCCAGAGCCAAAAAGTGGAAACAGCCGAAATGTCCATCAAGAGATGAACAGGGGAACCAAATGTGCTACATCCAGAGAATAGAATGGAATATGCATTATCCGACAAGAAAAAGAATAAACGGCTGCTACCTGTTACAACATGGATGAAACTTGAAAGCATCATGCCGGACACAGAAGTTCACCCATGGTATGAGCAACTTTATAAGAAATGTCCAGAACAAGCAGGAAGTAGGTTACTAGTTGCCAGGAGCAGGAAGGAAGGGTGAATGGAAATGACTGTTAATAAGGGTGGAGCTTCCTTTGGGGGGCAACAAAATGTACTCCGAGTTAAGTAGTAGGGCAGGTTGGACAAATCCATGAATACGCTAAAAAACTACTGAATTGTATACTTTAAAAATCTGAAATCTGTGATGTATCAACTCGATCTCAATGAAGCACTCATTGTAAAACCTAAATGTAAAAAGCAGTTCAATTAGACATTGGATAGCTCGGTGGTTCCACCACCTGCCTTGCAAGTGCAGGGACCCGAGTTCCATCCCGGATACAAAAAAAAA